TGTCTCTACGCGGTCGGCTCATGTAAACATACGGCCAACTATATTCACGACTCACTCCAGACACAAAATTACATACATTCAAAGATATCCTCTCACTTTCACAAATCACGGGTCATAACCGCTAGAAGCACTGCCCACTATTTAGGGCTAATAATCACTGACCGTGGTGGAATATGGCTGCAGACTCAGACGAATCCCATCCTGAGCAAGGCGTTCTCGAAGTAAACGCTTCAGTTGCATCCGAGGTATCTTCACTAACTCTGCTTTCCCTTCCTCATATTCGTCAACATATTTTGCTGGTTCCACTGCTGCTGTCGCCTGCTCTTTCCTTGCTTCTTCTTCACATCTACAAGAGTCCCGAGCGGCGGCTGCCTCCTCCAAAGTAAAATAAACAGCCGCCGCTCCTTCCTCTCTCAAAGATCTGACTGAATGAAGCAATCGCTGACGATGAGCAGGGTTGAGGACGCCAATAGCATCCAAATCTGGTTCCCCTACTTGTTTGCATATTTCTAAGTCATCATATCCGTTATCAATAAAACTTTCCGCGTATTGGCCCAAGTGGAGCGATCGCAACCACTCGACGACGATGTTGCCGCTCGCAGACGAGGCCATGTCGCGTCAAAATACTGTGAGCATTACAAGGCGTGCTCGCGGCGCGGTGGTCGGCGAGAAACTGGCGGCCACGCTCCCCTTTGCCCCCCTCTCCCCTCTATAAGCCGCGGTCGCCGCCCCTAGTACTTGGTGCTTTTGCTTTTTGACATTTTGTAGCTTAATCGTTTCGTTTCATGGAGAGGTGCGCGTCGCACCACGTGATATTCCGAATTAATCTTTCAAATGCCATTATGATATCCGATACGACATTTGTCGTTAGTTTCTGTCTTATAAACTTGTAGCATTTTTAAAGATAACTAATATTTGTTTACGTAACTAAACTTTGGATTAATAGGAAAAAATAGGGTCACAAAGTCAATATAATATGAAACAGCGGGTGGTCGCTGTGTCGAATGATATATGTGGAGTTTTATTTATTAATCTCTGAGGCGCCTCTATTTTGTATTTTGAACTACATTTAATTTGATTGCGCTCTCATTTTGTATTTAAATAGGACTAGGTATTTCTATTAATAAACTTTTATGATATTACCTTTACGTGTTATTTTTATTTTATTTTATTGTCCACTATTTTGTTTTAATGGTTGTTGAAAAGTGATTTATTTAGTAATTTGAATTTACATCGCGAAAGTGTGTGATTAGGTAACAAAACATGTATAAATAAATCTCTTGGGGTCGTCCATTCTGTTTACTTTATAAAGCTAATTAACCACAAACTGTGAAGTGGGTCGAAGTTTACTTTTACCAAAGCTGTTACTCATTAAACTACTTGACCTGTTTTATCTCATTTCGGAAGCTGCAACTAAATGAACGAACTTGCTTTATATAAGTTTGCATAAAGTCAACGATGCGGGCTGAAGATAGTTCCCTATTTTGTTTATTGTCTTCACTGTTTAAATATTTAATCATTGTTTATGTTAAGTTTAGTGTTAAACAGTTCGAATTTAAGTTTTCCAACCAACCGTCCAAAATTAATATTATTTGACTATTTCAACTATTATGAATTAATGTTTTGAGGTTGTCGAACATAATTATTCTCAAGAAGATTAAAAAAATATTTTTGCCAAAATTTTATTTTAACTTCTTGTATGATATTATGTACCTTTAGTTATAAACCGCTACTAAAACCAAAACCAACCCTTCACCTTTTTTTGCGTGTTTATCTATTATCTAAAATAATTGATATGGTTTAACTAGACACTACCTATACATCTGGCACGAATGAATAGGTTGTGTATTAGTAGCATTGATTTATTTACATTATTTACCTATACTTATTCCACGAGACCCTAAATCTCGCATATCTGGTATTCAACAACCACAATCAAACTAAAGAGACAGTCGACCTAATTACATTTACTTTATTTAAATGAACCTAGCCTACGGAACAGCACAGAAACTACGGTTTTCTTAATTAATAAAGGAATTTATCAAGCTGTCTTAGCACAAAGGTTTGCGGACCTAGGATATTTAATCAAAATTCTAAACAATCTTCAGTGTGACTTGAATTTAATAATAAATTAAAGGTTCATTTGTAGTTTGGGTGAAAACAATACTGTTATAGTAGGTATCAGAGTTTTAGTTTGAACTAACTTAATGCGGTTACACAGAACGTCAGAATCCACCGCGACTGACGAGACATGACCGAAGTAATATTGTACTACTTAGTTAGTTTCAAACAAATATGTGCATACCTATATACGAGCATATGAAGTACATAAAGGTGATTTTGGTATGCACTAAGGGCAAAATTAATATTCGTCTTGGACCGTAACAAAGTCCCTTAAATACAATGTTGCATACTTTCGACTAAGTATGTATAGAGAGCGAACATCTACCTACAATATGAAAACGAATGAAATTTTTATTCAGATTAAAAATGAAAATTAATAACATAGCTGGCTTATCATGATATTCGCTAACTCGGCAGATAAACTAGATTATTCCAACCTAGTTTTCCGCGAGCAAGCTTACGGATACCGAAATAATAGAAGTGTCTTTAAACATATTTGAATTCTTTGAAATGTATTATGTTACTCGATATTTCCCGGTCTCTCTTTGTTTTGTAAGATCTTCGACAAAATGAATCGATTTTGAGCTTAATGCTGAAAGACATGACATCATTGTAAACAAAACTACTATTTTCGTATTTATGATGTCCTCTTCTTCTTTAAAGTATCATTTATGATAAATCGTATTGAAAAGCTATAAAACGGTGTTAATGTCTTGCGTAGTAAAGGTCAGTTTGTTTACTAACATTTCACACGCCGGTAACGCCATCTAGTTTATAAAATTGGAAATACTTAGTAAGTGAGTGTGCGAGGGCTTTAAGACCATAAGGTAAAAAACAAAAATAACTATTGTATCTGGTTTTTCATTTTTATTTTGGTTTGTTTAACCTCATATTTAATGTATTTTGACTGACTGCCTCGTTGGCCGAGTGGTTGAAAGTGCGACTCCGGGCAAGGGGTCTCGGGTTCGATTCCCGGGTCGGGCAAAGTATTATTGGGTTTTAAAAAAATTGTCAGTAGTAGCACGGAGTTTGGAAATGTGCCCGATATATGGCAATAGGCTCACCCCCTATTACATGGGACTCATAACATAAACAGTGAAAAGTGGGTGTTACTTCTGTGTGCACCTCTGCCTACCCCTTCGGGTATAAACGGCGTGATGTTATGTTATGTTATTGTATTTTTTGTGAAGCAAGTTATTTACTAGTTATAGGATTTCTATTGTCTTTTAAATACTTAGACTGGAAGATGGCTTTAACATAGTATTAGAGACTGCTTTTTTTCAGAGCGGAAAATCATCCAATGTCAATGTCTTCTCCCGCCCGGGTGAGGTGAGAGGGCGTGTCAGACTCTTACTGATTAAAAACACCTCGTTCCTACTCCTGTACTTCGAGCTGGTGCTCTGGCAACTCGTTAAGTCCTCCGCGGCTTCGTATCGTCCTCAGCTCTATTGGGCTCCATCTGTGCTGACCTGATGGCTGCTTGCGGTGGACGCGGAACGGGACGCATAAGACGTTCGAGTCTGGTTCTGGTCGGGCGGCGAGTCACCAGTGCTCGATCAGAGACTGACTTGCCCAGTGAATTTGGTAATTTTTCACCTCGTCTAAACGTTGTCCACATATCGAAAAATATATTTTCTATGCTGGTACAGTCTTCCAAGTACTAAGTATGTGCGTAGGTGTATGCGGCGTAGGCACGTAAATATTTTGGATTTTGGATGATTTGGATTTGAATTTTGGATATTCATTCTTATTAATATAAATAAGTTCAGTAGTCACATTCTAAAGCCAAGGAAAATTCTTCAGATATTTTTTTAAATTTGTAGCTAAACTACCACTTCCAGTATTATAACAACTGTTATGATTTAACAGGAATGAAGTGGTCCATGAAATTATGTTAGAATCTGCACTTCGATATTGCATTGTAGGTTCGTTCATAAAATCAGTAATAATTGCTTAATATAACTTCCAATTGTATTTTGCGTTCATAACGTAGCAATAATAAGGTTTGCCTATTAAGTACCTATTCATGCGAATAGAGTTATTAGTGTTATTACAAATATCTACAATCATGGTACCTACGTTTAATTTTATTGTGATGTTGTTTATTTTATTGTTTACTAGCTAATTCCTCGCGGCTTCGTCCGTGTAGAATATGAATTTGAGAACATAACTTTTAAGTTTCCAATACCTGCCAATAAAAGTCTTACAAAATAGTTCCAACAATTTTAGAGATTTGCCTGTACAGACAGACAGACAAAATTTGTAAAATATGTTAATGTGGTACGTGTAGCGTATGTATATTCATATACACCTAATTACTGCAAACCGATACTCCAAGTTTATTTAATCGAAATGGATTTAAAGTTTAAAAAAATTTATGATTGTCATAATATTTAAAGAAAGAACGAGAGAAAAAAAACATCTTATCTTATTTATCTTATGTGTTGATTGGTGTCAATATTTTTATTTTAAAGTTTTTATTGGATTTGTAAAAAATGTGTGTAGCAAATCGAGCATTTACGATATTATGCGACTACAAATTCAAGATTTGGGATGAACTCTTGGTTTTAGCAAATCATTCTTGATTTTTAATGTAAGTTACCTGTATGCACAAATTATGACTTTCAAATTGTGGTCAGATTGTTATCAATACACTGATTTTTTACACACTCCAATTTTAGTGGGTATAAATTTTCTTATAACAATCATCATATTAGGCCGTGTTAGAAAAATATCCACGTGTTTATTTGCACACTTTTTCAGGGTAGGAAAATCCTACTAATCAAAATAAAAACGTAAACACGTACGACTCTCGAACAAGAAACATCTAGCTCCATGTAAAAATTGCTATAAAATAGTAAATTTTTGAGCTAACAGTGTGTATTCGTTAGAAAGTGATAGTTTAATACTCAACGCATCAGTGACCGTGTGGGCAAACCTGGAACTCAACAGGATCAGGAATAAAGAGCCAGACTTCTGTCACTCAACAGTATAACCCAAAAGGTCAGTGTAATCACCTTGTTCCGGCGAAACTGAGCATTGGTATAGCTGCATTACAACCAGCAGGCACTATTAAGGACTAAGGAACGGTCAGTTCCTTAAACAAACATCAAAACAAATACCATATGTTACAGAAACAATAGCAATAAATCGCCGCATCATCAAACGCACGAACGTGACCTTCATTCAGGCACGCGCTGTCAGCACGTTCGTCGCACTCATCATCAAATTATCGAACAACGCGATAAAAACCGTGAACTGCAAACGTGCTGACACAACAAATTCCATTGCCCACAAGAATTGCCGTGCTAAGGGCTAAATATCTAACCCATTGACATAGACCGAAAAAACTGGTCGTCAATAACTGAGAAAGACAACATCTGTTGGCCCTAAGCGAGGAGGAGCGGACGTCACACTCAACGAGCGAAACATCAGGACCAATCACACCTCTGGTTCTACACACGACGTGCGTGCTACGCTACCACATACCGACCACTGCAGGACATCGGCGGAACGTCGGAAAATAAGAACAACACATTACTAACATAGAATAGTATTAACTAAACATACAATTGTAAACAGTAAGAATAACATACTAACACGTAACTTGTAAACAAAAATATATAGGTTTTTAACAAAACATTCTGTAGAATATAGAAACACACACAAAACTTACAATAACAACAATGTCTACTGCCAGCAGCTCACGTGGCAAACGCTCAGCAGTTGTTGTGGTAACATCACCGTCACCCGTCAGAAAAACGGGAGCGAGCCTTCCACAGTCCGGGGTAGCATCGTCACTGACTCCGCAGAAGTCTGACCGTCTGATGGCCACGTCTATGAGCGAAGGATCCACCACCTGCTCACCTTCCTCTAAATCTCAAGCTGCGGAGGCCATTCAAAGGGTGGAAACATGGGAGCAAGCTGAAATCCTCACGGATGACGAGGCCTGGGACTTCAGATCTCAGGATAAGTCAGAAACGCAGGGAAGGAACAGCATGTTGCCCGGAGATGGACGGCGCTCGGGCATCGCAATGGATATGGCAAACAAATATGCCAATGAACTGCTTCAGCGAGGAAAAACGGCTTTGGAATCTGCCGGGAATATGAAGCGGGAATTCAAGTTAACAGCTATACAATGTCTTCAGTCCCTGTACGAGACCTGTCTCGCCCTTTCAGACTCCCGGTCACGGCATATGTTGAGCCTGGAGAGGGAGAGGTCACGTCATGCTAGGGAAATTGTTGCCATCGAAAGGGCCCATAGCAAGAAAATTGCTGAGGTAACCAAAAACCTAACCTCAGAAGTAGCATCGGCACGAAACGATTTAACGGCGAACCTCGAGCAGACAAAGGCCATTCGTTCTTGGCTAGGCTACGAGACGTTGGAACCGTACAAGAGGATAGAAGACATACTCAAATCCACTTCAGAAATAAAAGCGACCGTTGCTAAGTGGAACCTCTCTCGAGACTTGCCTACCAAAACTCTGACAGAAGCAGAACTCCAGCCTCTGAAAGAACAGCAGACCAGGTTGCTTCAAACAGTACAGACATTGTCTCAGCAACTGGATGAACTGCGCAGAGGTCAACATAAAACTCTAGAAAACACAACCACTCTCCAAACAATGAGTCAGGAGATACAGGTTAGGCTGAGTTCCCGTGAGCATAGTGTCCCGACAGAAATAACCACTGAGAGTCAAAAAAAAAATTGAGGAGGATCTAGTTGGAGTAAAAAAAACTCTCAACTTAATAGCAGATCATATTAAAGATCCTTCATCGCAACACCATCTTCCCCAACTTAAAAATGACCTTCAGCCTATCACCGAGCGACTGGATGCAGTATCATCAGAACTGCGAACAATGAGACAGCTTAAAGAGCGAACGCCTCCCCCACCTGCGCCAAGTGTGCGTACGGAAATGGCATTGGCAGACATTGTCAGACAAATCCGACAGCCCACATACGCGCATGTGGCATCCAAACCATCCGTTCCCAGACCAAACCACACCCTTATCATAAGTTCAACGGATCCCAAAAACACAGGAGACAATGTTATTGAAAAGATAAGGGTAGCTCTGGACTGCAAAAAGACAGGAGCAAAAGTGGAAAAGGTGAGAAAGGCAAAGAACCAGAAGGTTGTCATAAGCTGCGGCACCAGAGAAGATATGAAGCTGGTGCAATGCCAAGTCCAGAAAAAGGATGATCTCAAAGTTGAAATAGCCAAAGCTAGCAACCCACTGCTCCGAATAGCAGATGTATTGTCCTACCATACAGACAC